CAAGAATATTGTTAGGTTGGCTTAGCCAGAATCTTACCCTTGATGTTTTGCCTCTTAGTAATTTTCAATCCACTGACCCCACCCTACTCCTTGGCTATAAATGCCCACTTGTGCATGCTGTGTTCTGGGGTTGAGCCCAAGCTCTGTCCCCCACTACAAGACCTTATTGCAGTGGTCCTGAACAAAGTCTTCCTTACTGTGCTATAACACGTGTCACTGAATAATTTTTTTGTTTAACAACCTCCCCCTGGTTGTTAAACATTTACCAGCACACAGCTGAGTAGTATTGTTCTAAGGCAGTTTTGCACCCTCTGAGTATGGCATTGGTTTAAAGCTGACTCTATCATAAGGAATTCTGTAATGCCTTTAGAGACCTGACCCACCATTAGTAGGTAATCCTTCATATTCAGTTCACTTGATCTGCAAGAATGTAAATTCTTTTTTTTTTTTTCTTTGAGACATAGGTTAGCTCCTGTTGCCCAGGCTGGAGTGAAATGGCACGCTCTCAGCTCACAGCAACCTCTGCCTCCCGGGTTCATGTGATTCTCCTGCCTCAGTCTCCCGAGTAGCTGAGATTACAGGTATGCACCACCATGTCCGGCTAATTTTATATTTTTAGTAGAGACGGGGTTTCTCCATGTTGTTCAGGCTGGTCTCGAACTCCCGACCTCAGGTGGTCCACCTGCCTCAACCTCCCAAAGGGCTGAGATTACAGGCATGAGCCACCGCACCCGGCCAGAGTTTTGCTCTTGTTGCCCAGGCTGGAGTGCAGTGACATGATCTCGGCTCACTGCAACCTCTGCCTCCTGGATTCAAGCAATTCTCTTCCCTTAGCCTCCCAAGTAGCTGGGATTACAGGCATGTGCCACCATGCCCAGCCAATTGTTTGTATTTTTTAAATAGAGACAGGGTTTCGCTATGTTGGTCGGGCTGGTCTCGAACTCCTGACCTCAGATAATCCACCCACCTTGGCCTCCCAAAGTGCTGGGATTACAGGCATGAGCCACCTTGCCCAGCCTCAAAGATTCTTTATTTCATCCTTGGAATACAGAACATAAAGTCCATCTCCATCTTCCCTACTGAGAGCTATTCACCCTTTAAACTGCCCTATGAACAGGATTTAACCACGCTGGTTCTCGCTTGAGCACATCTCCTATGTAGCTTGTAAGGAATACTTGTTGCCTGAATAAATTCTGGCAGTACACACTGATCATTCTTTTTGCTCTACCATCATGCCATTTATGATCAGAGTCATAGTTTCTTATCCATTAGGTTTCTCAGGTGTGAATCAGATACCAGTCTTCTGTGTCCCTAAATGCAGAAGACATATGTCAAGCCTTCAAGAGATTCTACCGAAACCCCTTTCACTAGACTTGACTGGGGGAGAGAGACAAGTCACAGCCTACCTGCAGCCCACCTGCAGATTTCTCTAAATAAATCATCACAAAAATCTCCTGCACGTCTCTCCTTTCTCAAACGTTTAATATCCTCAGTGTAGATGACGGTTGTTGTTCATCCTGTGTTGAAATTCCTGTAGTGTGGTTGATCTCACAATTAATTATAGTGTATACCTATTGTTTCTTTTTTTTTTTTTTTTTTTTTTTTTTTTGAGACGGAGTCTTGCTCTGTCACCCAAGCTGGAATGCAATGGTGCAACCTCGGCTCACTGCAACCTCCACCTCCTGGGTTCAAGCAATTCTCTGCCTCAGCCTCCCGAGTAGCTGGGATTATAGGCGCCTGCCACCACACCTGGCTAATTTTTATATTTTTAGTAGAGACGGGGTTTCACCATCTTGGCCGGGCTGGTCTTGAACTCCTGACCTCAGGTGATCCACCCCCCTTGGCCTCCCAGAGTGCTGGGATTATAGGCATGAGCCACTGGGCCCGACTTATGATATCTATTGTTTCTTGGTGTCTTATTCAAAACTTTCAATTTAACATAATAGAATATCTTTATAAATTCAGACAAGGAGAGACTTCTTTTTTGGTTGTTGTTGTTGTTGTTTTTGAGATAGAGTCTTGCTCGTCACTGAGGCTGGAGTGCAGTGGCACAATCTCAGCTCACTGCAACCTCTGCCTCCTGGGTGCAAGCGATTCTCCTGCCTCAGTCTCCCAACTAGCTGGGATTACAGGCGTGTGCCACCACACCTGGCTAATTTTTTGTATTTTTTTTTTTTAGTGGAGACTGGGTTTCCCTGTGTTAGCCAGGATGGTCTCGATCTCCTGACCTCATGATCCGCCTGCCTCGGCCTCCCAAAGTGCTGGGATTACAGGTATGAGCCACTGTGCCCAGCCAAGGAGAGACTTCTTAAACAAGATACAAAATCCATCATACACACACAAGAGTCAAGACTGATTAATTGCACACAAATCATGTGGTAATATTATGCCCTTCTGGGCCAGGTCTAAGCCATGACAGACAATTCGTTTTTTTTTTTATTAATATTTATTTTTAAAAAATAAAAAAATGATAAATTGTACAACATGAAAATTAAGAACTTCTGTTTATCGAAAGACATCATTCTCTTTTCCAATTAGAAGATACTTAAAACACATATAACTAGGAAAAGATTAAAATCCAGAATATATAAAGAATACATAGCCAGGCGGGATAGCTCATCCCTGTAATCCCAGCACTTTGTGAGGCCAAGGCAGGTGGACTGCTTGAGCCCAGGAGTTCCAGACCAGCCTGGGCAACACAGTAAGATCCCATCTCTACAAAAATTACAAAAAATTATCCGGGGATAGAGGTGCGTATCTGTAGTCCTAGCTATTTGGGTGGCTAAGGTGGGAGGATCGCATGAGCCAGGAAGGTTGAGGCTGCAGTGAACCATGACTGCCACTATGCTCCAGCTAGAGTGAGAGTGAGACCCTGCCTTTAAAAAAAAAAAAAAAAAAAAAAAAAAAAAGGAATATCTGTACATCAACATCAATAAGAAAAAGATGAACAACCCAGTAAAAATTGGGCAAAAGCCTTAAATAGGCATTTCAAAGAAGAAAAGACACATATGACTAATATATTAAAAGCTTAAATCGGCTGGGCGCAGTGGCTCACACCTGTAATCCCAGCACTTTGGGAGGCTGAGGCAGATGGATCATCTGAGGTCGGGAGTTTGGGACCAGCCTGGTCAACATGGCAAAACCCCATCTCTACTAAAAAGACAAAAATTAGCCGGGCATCATGGAGCATGCCTGTAATCCCACCTACTCGGGAGGCTGAGGCATAAGAATCTCTTGAACTCCGGAGGTGGAGGATGCAGTGAGGTGAGATTATGCCACTGCACTCCAGCCTGGGCAACAGAGTGAGACTCCATCTCAAAAATAAGAAAATAAAAGATGAAATCATAGAAATGCAAATTAACACCATAATAAGAGGCAATTTCATAATTAGCAGATTGACAACAATTTAAAAGTCCAAGAACACCAAGTGCTGGTCGGGTCACAGAATAGCAGGAACTCTTACACACCACTAGCAGGAATATAAAGTGATGCGAGCACTGTGGGAGCAGTTAGGCAACATTTCCTAAATTGAACATGCATCCTACAACCTAGTAATTCCACTCCTAGAAAAATCCCTACAGGACACCAGGACACATGCACAACATTTTAAAATAGCTAAAAAGTAGAAACAACCCAATTGTCCTTACATGGAAGGAACAGATCTAAATATTCATCAAGAGGAGAATGGACACATAAATTGCAGTACTTTATATGACAGGGTATCTTATGACTGAGAAAATGAGTGAAGATATCAACGTGGATGAATTTTAGAAGCCATTCTTACAAAGTTTAAAAACAAAAAAAAACTAAGTAATATGTTATTTAGGACCCATTTATTTGTGGTAAAACTTGAAATAAAAGGAATAAATTATAAACAAAATTTAGAGTAGCAATTACTTCTTGGGAGAGGCAGATAAATGGTATGGGGAAGAAGTCTCAGAGGACTCCAAAACATTAGTAATACCCTCCATCTTGAGTTGTATTATGCATCACAGGTGGGTTTTTTTGTTATTATTATTCATTGCTTCCACAGGATGAAGATATAATATATAATTAATATGTTATTATGTATGTTAATTGTAAAGTATATAACCGTATATAATATATACTATATAATTAATACTAATATACTATATATAATGAATATATACTATATAAATTAACATATTGTATATTAGTATTAATTATATAGTGTATTATATAAGTCATCCTGAGTGGTGGGGTTCTACATTGTAATTTTCTACATTTCCCATGGGCCGGGCATGATGGCTCACACTTGTAATCCCAGCACTTTGGGAGGCTGAAGTGGCCAGACCACTTGAAGTCAGGAGTTTGAGACCAGCCTGGCCAGCAGGGCGAAACCCCATCTGTACTAAAAATACAAAAAATTAGCTGGGCATGGTGGCGCACACCTGTAATCCCAACTACCCAGGCGGGTGAAGCAGCAGAATCGCTTGAACCTGGGAGGCAAAGTTTGCAGTGAGCTGAGCTCGAGCCACTGCACTCCAGCCTGCGGGGACAGAGCACAACTCTGTCTCAAAATAATAATAATAATAATTTTCTACACTTCCCTAGTTGCTTTAATATTAATGCAATACTTTCATGATCAAAAGATCGTGTTTTTTAATAATGTCTAGAATGTTTGCACGTTTTTTGAAATTTGATCTGAACCTTCAGTCTAGTTTCATGCTATGGGAGGGATAATCTCTAAAGATTTGACATTGCTATCTAGTTGACAAATAGGTGTCAAAATGCTAATGCACAAATTTCAGCTATGCCAACATTGCCTTTATTTATTTAATTGCTTTAGTCAGAATCTCACTCTGTCGCCCAGGCTGGAGTGCAGTGGCATAATCTCAGCTCACTGTAAACTCCGCCTCCTGGGTTCAAGGGATTCACCCTACCTCAGCCTCCCAAATAGCTGGGATTACAGGCATATGCCACCATGCCCGGCTAATTCTTGTATTTTTAGTAGAGAGGGTTTCACCATGTTGGCCTGGCTAGTCCTGAACTCCTGACCTCAGGTGGTCCACCTGCCTCAGCCTCCCAAAGTGCTGGGATTACAAGCATGAGCTGCCGTGCCCAGCCACTAACATTGCCTTTAAACATTCAGTATTCCTTAGTCAGTATTACTTCCTTCCTATCTTTTGAAGATATACTTCCCATTTTTATGTTGAGGTTTTTATCCTTCATATTTCCAACATCTCTAAGGTTCCCTTGAACTCTGAAATTCAGTGACTCAGAAGCCTTGGATGAAAACTAAGATTCTTTTTTTCCCCTAGCCCTTTAGCAACATCTAGTGGGTATTTAGAGACAGGACAAGACAAACTTTTTCCTACATAAGGATCAACCGTATAGATGGCAAATTTGACTTAGCAAAAAAAAAAAAAAAAATAGCCTTAAGTCTTCAAACAAAATCTCTCCTGTGATTAAGTAATTTGCTACATGCATGGGTGTGTATGTAAACACTTAAGATAAGTCCAGCTGACATTTCCTCATTTAGCCTGCTGTAAACATAGACAAGAGTTGTTACTACATTAGTTGTTACTACATTACATCATGTAGAACCTCATGAAATGTCTGAAGCAAGAGTACCAGTACAGTGTGTAAACCTCCAAAAGCCAAAAGGAAGAACTCGCGTAGAATGGCATCTTTCTGGAACAGAAGTCTCTAGGCATAGAAGCAGAGAGTAACAGAGGAGAGAGAGCAGGAGGGGTGGGTTAGGGAGGGAGCACAAGAAAAGAATAAAGCAAAATCACTGGGAAAGATAGATTTATAGAATCCAGAGTTCTTATCCTAAGATAACTGCAGCCCAGTCATTGCTCACTTAACCAAAAGTAGGTTTCTCTTCATCCTTCAAGCCTGCTCCCCCAAAGAACTTTGCCATCTTTCCCTTTGACTTGCTGCCTTACCTATCTCATCTCACTTTCACTGGAGGTTCTGGTCCTAGGTAGATGACGGCTGATAACTGATGACTGAGAGAAAAGAAGCTCCTAACTTCTGTCTATAGAAGTAAATAAGGAAACTATGACTGCAACCTCTCCTATTCCCACCAAAACTTGAGTCCTAACAAAAGCAGCTCTTTTCCTAGAAAGCTGGTAACACATTCCTAAAATTAGTTTGCATTCTGACCTTTACAACATAGGTGGAGACTCTGTCAACATTATCCAGTTATAAGAAGGGGATGGCCTGAGAGTCAGACACCCTGGGCTCTTTAGCCTCATTACTTTTTAACCCTATTATCATAGACACTTTATCTAATCTCTCTGTGTCTCAATTTCTCTATCTACAAATTAGATATGATTAATCATATCCTTGCAATTTTCATAGACAGTTCTCCATGATCAATTAACATTTATGAAAATGCTTTCCCCATAGAAAAAAATCCATGAAGCCAAGGTAATAGTATCAGCATTCTCATGAACACCTATGAAACAAGTACCTGTTTATGGCTATCAACATATGGTGCTGGGCTGAGCTCCACACAAGTTAGGTAAACCCAGTTTTGCAATCTAGGACTATGTTGTTCCAATTTGGCTTATGACAGGAGAACATAGAACATTGTGGAGGAATTTTTGAGGCAGTATGTTGGGGAGTCAGCAAATGTGAGTTAGGGGAAAGGAGGACTTGTCCTATCAGATATTAAAATACATTTTAAAGCTCTGTTGGTTAAAATATCATGATATACTGGATCAGGGATAGACAGATAGCTCACTGAAAGGTAATGGGGACCCCATAACAGATCTATACATGTATGAAATGTATGAAAATGCTTGGCAATGTAGATCAATAGGGAAAGGAGGAAATATTTAAGACACAATGTTGGAACCATTAGTTATTTGTGTATGAAAAATTGATTCTGGATCCATACCTCAAACTGCACACAAACTCAATTCCAGATGGAATGAAAAAGCCAAATTTTTTTTTTAAATTTGGAAGAAAATACAAAATATCTTTATATAATCTCAAGATAGAGAAGGATTTCATAAACAAGACACAAAAAACAAAATTCATGAAGAAATGATTGATAAGCTTTGCTCCATAGAAATTAAGGAAACATGTAATTTTCTTGTAAAATACAGCATGACCCATATGCAGAAAATCCTCAAATTAGCCTCCTCAGCCTTTTATAACTAAGCAGAATAAAGAGGAAAGGGCTAAGGAGAAAGAAACACACAAGGACAAGAGGCAGGCTCTAGCTTTGGCTGCTTTACAAGCCCTCAGCCCCCTCCAGCTTGCTCTAAGGACACTCCTTCAGGTAATTGCTACTGGTGCAGAAGGCCAGGCCATTGAAAAGTAAACTGCCGTAATAAAATAAATGGGAAAAAGCCCCACACCGTTTCCCCTCAATCTGCCAGAAGCTTGGCCACTGGAAACAGGACTGCCCTGAGGGCTAAAGGGACTCTGGGACAGTATCCCAATCCTGATGGTCTTGAGCTAAAGGGGCTCTCTGCTCCAGCTGGCTTTCAAATCAGACACTGTCATCAACAGGACAAAGCCAAAGGCACTCTGGAGAGGACAAATGAAATTATAAATTTCCCTTTTGAGTTCAAACACTGCCTACTCTGCACTAATCTTCCCTGAGCAACTGTCCTCCAAATCCTGCTGGGTGATGAAGGCAAATGGCATCCCCTCCCTCCAAAAAGAAAAAATTCACATCCCTTTATATTACTTAAGGGACCAATGGCCATTCTCCCACCAGTTTCTGATAACTAAATACCTTACACCCTTTTAGGGCAAAAATATGCTTTCCAAGATAGGTGCCTGCTTAATATTTACCCAACTTCTGAATTCATCTCTCCCTCTAATAGCCCTGTTTCTCCTGGGAAAACTGCCTAAATTTTTAACCAATAATTTCAACGTAAACAGCTCTACTTCAAGGGTTTAAAATAGCCCACACTTATTCAGACAACCCCTAATAAAAACATAACTGAATAATCTCTTGTGGGAAGATAACTTCTACAGTATGTAGAAAACCTCCTCATTTGCTCCCCCTTCACAGAACTTGCTCAGCAACGTGCAGTACAAATCTTAACTTCCTAACAAAAGGAAAATGATTTTTGTCTAATTCAAAGGTTATTTAAAGGTTATATATAAAACAAGGTAAAAGGAACCAGGAAATAAAAGAGACGTAAGTAAGGTTATAAAGGCAAAGAGGTATTTTCGATAAGGAAGGTTATAAAGTAAAGAAATTTTATATGAGAAAATATATTGTATGGCAAATTCTTGTCGAAAAATAAAATAAGTTTTTTTTAAAGAAAGAGGTGGGCAACCCCCTTTGGGTTCCCTCCCATTTTATGGAAGTTCTGTTTTCTCTCTATTAAATCTTGCAATCGCGCACTCTTCTGGTCCATGTTTGTTATGAGCTGAGCTTTCGCTTGCCATCCACCACCACTGTTTGCTGCCGTCACAGACCCACCGCTGACTTCCACCCCTCCAGATCTGGCAGGGTGTCCGCTGCGCTCCTGATCCAGCAAGGTGCCCATTGCCGCCCCTGACTGGGCTAAAGGCTTGCCATTGTTCCTGCATGGCTAAGTGCCCCGGTTCTTCCTAATCAGGCTGAACACTAGTCAATGGGTTCCACGGTTCTCTTCTGTGACCCATGGCTTCTAAGAGAGCTATAACACTCACCGCATGGCCCAAGATTCCATTCCTTGGAATCCGTGAGGCCAAGAATCCCAGGTCAGAGAACAAGACGCTTGCTGCCATTTTGAGAGCAGCTGCCACCATCTTGGGAGCTCTAAGAAAAAGGACCCCCCGCCTCGCCTGCTGCCACCGGTAACGTTTTGGCAACCACGAAGGGACCTCCAAAGTGGTGAGTAATATTTAACCACTTTCACTTGCTATCCTGTCCTATCCTTCCTTAGAATTGGAGGACAATACTGGGCACCTGTCAGCCAGTTAAAAACGATTAGTGTGGCCGCCGGACTTAAGACTCAGGTGTGAGGCTGTCTGGGAAACCCTTCTGGGTTGGGAGCGTGGTCTGCCTGGAACCAGCTTCCACTTTCAGTTTTCCTGGGGAAGCTGAGGGTCGACTAGAGGCAGAAAGCTGTCACCCTGAATTCCTGGCATTAGCCAGTTGAGATTATGGCACAGCCAGAAGTCTCTACTCAACAATCGCCCATGCGTGTGCCCCTACGTTTCCTTCTGACCCATACCTCCTGGGTCCTGACCACTAATTTCTTGAAAGTGTGGCCCCAAAATTCTCCTTACCTCTGAATCTACTTCCTCTGATCCCTGCCTCCTAGACACTAATGTTTCAGACTTTCACTTCCTCTCCCGAGTATTAGAACAGGTTGTATCTCATCTAAGGAAGCTCTAAGCTGCATCTTTAGGCCCCTAGGCTATGAACCCAGGGAGTCTTGTCCCTGGTGTCCCACCCAATTTAGGCATACAGCTTTCGACATGGGCAGTTATGTGGGACCCGTTCCCCACCACCCTTGCCAGGGCCTTAGAACTGATAATCCAGTACTGTAACAACTGGAACTGGGTCTACAACAACGTAATAGATCAGGATGAAAGCAAATTGAATAAATAAAAGGGAGGCACATATTCCTATAGTGGCAAATGGGGGCAACATCCTTCCACTGTGTTTCCAAAAATCCATCTACAAAGACAGAAAGAAGAAAGAAAGAGAAAGATAGAAGTAGTAAAGAAAAAAGAGTGTACCCTATTTCTTTAAAAGCCAGGGTAAATTCAAAACCTGTAATTGATAACTGAAGGTTTTCTCCGTGACCTTATAACACTCCAATACCACTTTGTTGTCAGTGTAAATAAGGGCGTAATCCGAAAGCACTGAGGCCACTGACAACCAGTAGCCTTCCTATCAAAAATCCTTAACTCAGGAACCCATGGGTGGCCCAAATGCATTCAATCTGTAGTGGCAACTACTTTGCTAACAGAAGAAACTAGAAAATTAGCCTTTAGAGGAAACCTCATTGTGAGCACATCAGAACTATCCTAAGTCAAAAAAGCAAAAAGGTAGCTTACTAACTTGAAAATCTTAAAGTATGGGGCTGTTCTGTTTGACACAGATAATTTAACATTAACCACTGAAAATTCCCTTAACCCAGCAGACTTCCTAACAGGGAATTTAAATCTTAATTACCATACAAAGGTCCAACCAGACCTAGGAGGAAATCCCTTCAGGACAGGACAATAGACCTTCCTCCCAGGTGATTGAGAAAAAAACACAATGGGTATTCAATAATTGAGGGAAACTCTTGTAGAAGCAGAGTTAAGAAAATTGCCTAATAATTGGTCTGCTCAAAGTTCGAGCTGTTTGCACTCAGCCAAGCCTTAAAGTACTTACAGAATCAAAAAACTCTATCTCAATCCTGACTCAAAAGGTTACCCACACCCTCTCTGAAATGAATTTGCATAAGAACTGTTGTTTGTAGGAATGCATCTTGATGGGGCAACTGGGTTACTGTGAAATATTCAGAAACCCAGCCCAGCTCTAGAACTCACCCCTGAGTGCAAAGGCAATGTCAGGCACACTAGTAAAGGACCACTAGAATCCAGCAGCCTAGACCCCTTTCTTTGTGGTTAAGAAAGGTGGGAAAACAGGTGCAGGACTGCTACATCAGTGAATGTAACTAATCCAATAAGCAGAGGTCCATGGATGGTTATGCACGCCGGAAAGGAGTAAGTATTAGGACCATAGAGGACTCTCTAAGACTAATGTTCATCAGAAAATGACTAGCGGTGCTGGTATCCCTATGTTCTTTTTTCAGATGGGAAATGTTCCCCCCAAGGCAAAAATGCCCCTAAGATGTATTCTGGAGAATTTGGCCCAGCCAGAGTGTATGTACCTTTTTCCCTCTCAGACTTGAAGCAAATTAAAATAGACCTAGGTAAATTCTCAGATAACCCTGATGGCTATATTGATGTTTTACAAAGGTTAGGACAATCCTTTGATCTGACATGGAGAGATATAATGTTACTGCTAAACCAGACACTAACCTGAGATGACAGAAGTGCCACCATAACTGCATCCTGAGAGTCTGGAGATCTGTGGTATCTCAGTCAGGTCAGTGATAGGATGACAACAGAGTAAAGAGAACAATTCCCCACAGGCCAGCAGGCAGTTCCCAGTGTAGACCCTCACTGGGACACAGAATCAGGACATGGAGATTGGTGCCACAGATATTTGTTAACTTGCGTGCTAGGAAGCAGCCTATAAATTATTCAATGATGTCCACTATAACACAGGGAAAGGAAGAAAATCCTACTGCCTACTGGGGAGACTAAGGGAGGCATTGAGGAAGCATACCTCTCTGTCACCTGACTCTATTGAAGGTCAACTAATCTTAAAGGATAAGTTTATCACTCCGTCAGCTGCAGACATTAGAAAAACCTCCAAAAGTACGCCTTAGGCCTGGAGCAAAACTTAAGAATCCTATTGAATTTGGCAACCTCATTATTTAATAATAGAGATCAGGAGGAGCAGGCGGAATGGGGACAAACGAGATAAGAAAAAGGCCACCACTTTAGTCATGGCCCTCAAGCAAGCGGACTTTGGAGGCTCTGGAACAGGGAAAGCCTGGGCAAATCGAATGCATAATAGGGCTTGTTTCCAGTGCAGTCTACAAGGACACTTTTAAAATGATTGCCTAAATAGAAATAAGCCACCCCCTTGTCTATGTCCCTTATGTCAAGGGAATCACTGGAAGGCCCACTGCCCCAGGGGACGAAGGTCCTCTGAGTCAGAAGCCAGTAACCAGATGATCCAGCAGCAGGACTGAGGGTGCCTGGGGCAAGCGCCAGCCCATGCCATCACCTTCACGGAGCCCTGGGTGTGCTTGACTATTGAGGGCCAGGAAGTTAACTGTCTCCTGGACACTGGCGCAGCCTCCTCAGTCTTACTCTCCTGTCCCAGACAACTGTCCCCCAGATCTGTCACTATCCAAAGGGTCCTAGGACAGCCAGTCACTAGATACTTCTCCTAGCCACTAAGGTGTGACTGGGGAACTTTACTCTTTTCACATGCTTTTCTAATTATGCCTGAAAGCCCGACTCCCTTGTTAGGGAGAGACATTCTAGCAAAAGCAGGGGCTATTATACACCTGAACATAGGAGAAGGAACACCCGTTTGTTGTCCCCTCCTTGAGGAATGAATCAATCCTGAAGTCTGGGCAACAAAAGCACAATATGGATGAGCAAGTTACCCTATCCTGTTCAAGTTACCCTAAAGGATTTCGCCTCCTTTCCCTAACAAAGGCAGTACCGCCTTAGACCCGAGGACCAATAAGGACTCCAAAAGATTGTTAAGGGCCTAAAAGCTGAAGGCCTGGTAAAACCATGCAATACCCCTGCAATACTCCAATTTTAGGAGTACAGAAACCCAATGGACAGTGGAGGTTAGTGCAAGATCTCAGGATTATCAGTGAGGCCGTTGTCCGCGTATACCCAGCTGTACCTAACCATTACACTCTGCTTTCCCAAATACCAGAGGAAGCAGAGTGGTTTATAGTCCTGGACCTTAAGGATGCCTTTTTCTGCATCCCTATACATCCTGACCCTCAATTCTTGTTTGCCTTTGAAGATTCTTCGTACCCAATGTCTCAACTCACCTGGACTGTTTTACCCCAAGGGTTCAGGGATGGCCCCCATCCATTTGGCCAGGCTTTAACCCAAGACTTGAGCCAGTTCTCATACCTGGACACTCTTGCCCTTCAGTACATGGATGATTTACTTTTAGCCACCTGTTCAGAAACCTTGTGCCATCAAGCCACCCAAACGCTCTTAAATTTCCTCACCACCTGTGGCTACAAGGTTTCCAAACCAAAGGCTCGGCTCTGCTCACAGCAGGTTAAATACTTAGGGCTAAAATTATCCAAAGGCACCAGGGCCCTCAGTGAGGAACGTATCCAGCCTATACTGGCTTATCCTCATCCCCAAACCCTAAAGCAACTAAGAAGCTTCCTTGGCATAACAGGCTTCTGCCGAATATGGATTCCCAGGTACGGTGAAACAGCCAGGCCATTATATACAATTAAGAAAACTCAGAAAGTCAATACCCATTTAGTAAGATGGACATCTGAAGCCAAAGTGGCTTTCCAGGCCCTAAAGAAGGCCCTAACCCAAGCCCCAGTGTTAAGCTTGCCAACGAGGCAAGACTTTTCTTTAAATGTCACAGAAAAAACAGGAATAGCTCTAGGAGTCCTTACACACATCCGAGGGATCAGCTTGTAACCTGTGGCATACCTGAGTAAAGAAATTGATGTAGTGGCAAAGAGTTGGCCTCATTGTTTACGGGTAGTGGCAACAGTAGCAGTCTTAGTATCTGAAGCAGTTAAAATGATACAGGGAAGAGATCTTACTGTGTGGGCATCTCATGATGTGAACGGCATACTCACTGCTAAAGGAGACTTATGGCTGTCAGACAATCGTTTGCTTAAATATCAGGCTCTATTATTGAAGGACCAGTGCTGTGACTGTGCACTTGTACAACTCTTAATCCAGTCACATTTCTTCCAGACAATGAAGAAAAACTAGAACATAACTGTCAACAAGTAATTGCTCAAACCTACACCACTCGAAGGGACCTTCTAGAGGTTCCCTAGACTGATCCTGACCTCAACTTGTATACTGATGGAAGTTCCTTTGTAGAAAAAGGACTTTGAAAAGCGGGGTATGCAGTGGTCAGTGATAATGGAATACTTGAAAGTAATCCCCTCACTCCAGGAACTAGTGTTCAGCTGGCAGAACTAATAGCCCTCACTTGGGCACTAGAATTAGGAGAAGGAAAAAGGGTAAATATATATACAGATTCTAAGTATGCTTACCTAGTCCTCCATGCCCAAGCAGCAATGTGGAGAGAAAGGGAATTCCTAACTTCTGAGGGAATACCTATCAAACATCAGGAAGCCATTAGGAGATTATTATTGGCTGTACAGAAACCTAAAGAGGTGGCAGTCTTACACTGCTGGGTCATCAGAAAGGAAAGGAAAGGGAAATAGAAGGGAACTGCCAAGCGGATATTGAAGCCAAAAGAGCCGCAAGGCAAGACCTTCCATTAGAAATGCTTCCAGAAGGACCCCTAGTATGGGGTAATCCCCTCCAGGAAACCAAGCCCCAGTACTCAGCAGGAGAAATAGAATGGGGTACCTCATGAGGACATAGTTTCCTCCCCTCAGGATGGCTAGCCACCGAAGAAGGAAAAATACTTTTGCCTGCAGCTAACCAAAGGAAATTACTTAAAACCCTTCACCAAACCTTTCACTTAGGCATTGATAGCACCCATTAGATGGCCAAATTATTATTTACTGGACCAGGCCTTTTCAAAACTATCAAACAGATAGTCAAGGCCTGTGAAGTGTGCCAAAGAAATAAGCCCCTGCACTGCAGGCCATACATTTCAACTCCTGTATCTTTAACCTCCTTGTTAAGTTTGTCTCTTCCAGAATCGAAGCTGTAAAACTACAAATTGTTCTTCAAATGGGGCCCCATATGCAGTCCACGATGAAGTTCTACCACGGACCCCTGGACCAGCCTGCTAGCCCATGCTCCAATGTTGATGACATCAAAGGCACCCCTCCTGAGGATATCTCAACTGCACAACCCCTACTGTGCCCCAATTCAGCAGGAAACAGTTAGAGCAGTCATCAGCCAAACTCCCCAACAGCACTTGGATTTTCCTATTGAGAAGGCGGACTGAGAGACAAGACTATCTGGATTTCCTAGGCAGACTAAGAATCCCTAAGCCTAGCTGGGAAGGTGACCGCATCCACCTTTAAACATGGGACTTGCAACTTAGCTCACACCTGACCAATCAGGTAGTACAGAGAGCTCACTAAAATGCTAATTAGGTTAAAACAGGAGGTAAAGAAATAGCCAATCATCTATCACCTGAGAGCACAGGGGGAGGGACAATGACCGGGATATAAACCCAGGCATTCGAGCCAGCAATGGGTACCCCCTTTGGGTCCCCTCCCTTTGTATGGGAGCTCTGTTTTCACTCTATTAAATCTTGCAACTGCAAAAAAAATTAAAAAAGGAAAGAAAGAGAGATGTTTAGGACAAGTCAGAAAGTCCGAGAATGTCATAGATGGTCTGTGTAGGTCATGAGAAAATTCATGAAAGGAAATTTATAAAAGGAATGTATGTAATTAAGATATAATCTTTTCTAACATTGGTCTCCTATGTTAAAACAAGATTTTCTTAAGGAATCTGCTCTTAATAAAATTGCAAGAAGTTTTACTTTCAATTTTCTAAATGTTTCTTTTAAAAAAAACTTCTCAGAATCATATCTCAGAAGTTCAACTTTTTCTGTGTTCTGCTGCTTTCAGCTTTTTCTCCCTTGAAGAAGGCCTATGATAATAACTCTCTCTTTCACCTTTTGTCAGGTTCTGCAACTTTTTCCTCCAGTTCTAACTGTTATTATGGCCTAATGCTAAAATATTTCATCTTGAAGGTCAAAAATTTAAGCAATGCTTACCTCAGGCCTAACTTAATTCTGTACCCTTGGCTTTTCTTGATATGTCTAAATCCTCAATGTAATAAAAAAATTCTCATGCTGTTTCTAAGAGTCATGTATTCCCCTGCTCTACTCATAATCCTGAACACACTTTTCCTGTGTCTAATGAAATTCAAACACTTTTTGTTGAGTTTAACTTCCAAGTTATCTAAATGAGCTTCCAATAAGGCAAAACAGGCACACTGAAAAAGGGTTTTCTTTGCCTTTTTAGCAACTGGCTTAAAAAAAAAATTTTTTTGGTCCAGGTGCAGTGGCTTATGCCTGTAATCCCAGCACTTTGGGAGGCTGATGTGGGTGGATCACCTGAGGTCAGGAGTTTGAGACTAGCCTGGCCAACATGGCAGAACCCCATCTCTACTAAAAATACAAAAATTAGCTGGGTGGAGTGATGGTTGCCTGTAATCCCAGCTACTCAGGAGACTGAGGCAGGAGAATCACTTGAACCTGGGAGGTGGAGGTTGCAGTGAGCCAAGATCATGCCATTGCACTCCAGCCTGGGTGCCAAAAACGAAACTCTGTCTCAAAAAATAAAATAATAATAATAATCTTCCAGAACTCAATAGTTTTACCTTGAAATGATGCTGTGAACAGGATATCAGTCTCTCCCCAATGATGCCTGCTTCCTTTACGAATTTCCTCTGGATTCAACTGGACACCAGTTTTGCCATGGCATGCTCCCCTTCTCCAATGAGTCCCTTCCTCTGGTAAGATCCAATATTGTAAGTCCCACAATCTGGGACAATGATCCACAGGGTCTCCTGACAGACCAACAACCATAGGTAGGATCAACTCTATGCCCCAGGCCAGTGGGACATAGTTGGAAGATGAGACCTCTGCCCCAATACTAAAGATTTGTTATTGTTGGTCTATCAGGGGGAGAATGTGGAGTGCTGATAGATGAGTAAGCAGCAAGGAAGGGGCCCCACATTGAGGAGGTCCCCCATTGGGGAAGAACAATGAGCAATTGTTCAGAGAAACAGCTACCCACAAACAGCCCACAGGCTCAACAACCTCATTCTGGGGGCACAATGACCTCATTTCACATGTAGCCCCCTCCAGCATGACCCTGTAAAACTTCCCTCCAGCCCCCATCTCTTTCCAGACAGCTGCCATGCTGCCCATTGAAGTCTTGTAATGTGTTTTCATACTTTCTCTAAAAAATATGCTCTTCTTTACCTACAACTGTCTTGGTAAATCCCTTTACTGCCCATGAAGCAGGCCTCAGCCAGTTGTACCCATGACAGTCCCCTCCAATGTAGCAGGAAAAGCAATAATCTTGATAAATGTTTATAAAATATTAAATAAATAAATAAATAAAACTTACGCTATCAGCTCACCATGGAAAAAATATGCAACACCAAAAATTCCTATATTTTTCTTTTAACACTGGCAAATGAGGAAATAGCTGGGTGGAGTTTAGAATTACGTAAGAAGGTATGGTGGTATTCTATATGGAACAAAGGAGAAATAGACAATTTAGCTGAAAGCTCCATCTTGCTTTGGAGCATTATTGTTTCTCTTCATTTTACCATTTTACCTTTTTTAAAATCCAAAATAAATTGGTGTGTGTGTTTCCTTAATGATTTGGTTTTGAAATTGTTATTGTTCAGACTTGTACTTCTGTGAGGACATCTACCCAGCAACTGCCTGTCCAACCTTGACTGATGCCCCTCTTATTACTGCTCCTTGTAGCCAGGGATAATGGTATCAAAACAATTGTGTAATCCTCCTCATTTTTTTCTTTAAAAACTTTTGTCTTCCTTTGACAACCACTGTCCTGAATACATCCACCATATTTCCATTGCAATGCTTACTCCCGAATAAATATAATTTTCTTTCAGAGAACCTCTCTCTGTGTCTGTTATTTAGGTTAACAATAGATAGATAGATAGATAGATAGATAGATAGATAGATAGATAGATGGATGGCATCAAAGTCTTGAATGATTGTTTTTTTCAATACCTAATCCTTGATCCCCGATCATTTATTTAATAATTTATTTCTTTCCTATTGAGTTATAGTGTATATTAAATCATTGTTGTATATTATAATAATTATTTATGTAAAGGTCTATTTGGTGGCTTTTTTCTGATCCATAAATTTTTATATTCTTGCATTGTCTATAAACCTTTTATTATTGTGATTTATTTTGATACCTGGGAGTCCTAGTCTTCCTAGCTGTTCTTCTTTGTAAAATTTTCCTTGCCATTCTTACAAGTTTTTCCGTATTAATTTTAGGATAATTTTGTTAAGCACTCCCCTCTCCAAACAATTCCTGTTGGGAATTTAAAAGGGATCACATTAAATCCACATACTACTTTGGGCTGAATTTGACATGTTTATATCCCTAAGTCTCCTCATCCAAGGATATCAATAGGATTTGTTTACAAGAAATGAAGATTTCCGCCGGGCGCGGTGGCTCAAGCCTGTAATCCCAGCACTTTGGGAGGCTGAGATGGGCGGATCACGAGGTCAGGAAATCAAGGCCATCCTGGCGAACACGGTGAAACCCCGTCTCTACTAAAAAAATACAAAAAACTAGCCGGGCGAGGTGGCGGTCACCTGTAGTCCCAGCTACTCGGGAGGCTGAGGCAGGAGAATGGCATAAACCCGGGAGGCGGAGCTTGCAGTGAGCTGAGATCCGGCCACTGCACTCCAGCCTGGGCGACAGAGCGAGACTCCATCTCAAAAAAAATAAAAATAAAAAAATAAAGAAATGAAGATTTCCTCACATTATCTTGGAAAATTAGGCCTATCATACTCATAGTTTCTGCTCACGCATGGCTCTCTGTACACTTGTCTTCTGACTGTCTTTTGGATTCTGCACCTGCCAGCTGCTTGACTCTTTCCTCATACCTATAGTTTAAGTTTCCTAGATAGAGAATTGGCCTAGCCAAACATTGTCCCTATTGGAATAGAGTTTTCTTTTTACTATCATAAGAAGTAACATTTATTTGAATTCTGCGTGTATTTCTAAAGTTTGCTGTTTTCTTCATATTCTTGTTGACACATTTTTGTTTTTCTTTCCTTCTTTTTTTGAGACAAGACCTTGCTCTGTTGCCCAGGCTGGAGTGCAGTGGTTTGATCTCAGCTCACTGCAACTTCTATCTCCCAGACTCAAGCAATCCTCCCACCTCAGCCTCCCAAGTAGCTGGGACTATAGGCACATGCCACTGCACCTGGCTACTTTTTAAATTTTTTTTGTAGAGACGAGGTTTTACCATATTGGCCATGCTGGCCTTGAACTTCTGAGCTCAAGTGATCCACCAATGTGCCTGACCACATTTCTCTTTTAAAAATAATTGCTGGGCACGGTGGCTCACGCTTATAATCCCAGCCCTTTGGGAAGCTGAGGGAGGCAGATCATGAGGTCGGGAGGTCAAGACCATCCTGGCTAACACGGTAAAACCACATCTCTATTAAAAATACAAAAAAAAAAAAAATTAGCCGGGCGTGGTGGCGGGCACCTGTAGTCTCAGCTACTCGGGAGGCTGAGGTGGGAGAATCAGGTTACAGTGAGCCAAGATTGTGTCACTGCACTCCAGCTTGGGTGACAGAGTGAGACTTTGTCTCAAAAAAATAAAAATAAAAGATAAAGTTACATATTATATTTCAGATATGTTGGCTGCTCATGAATAGGATTATGTTTCCTTTATGTTTTCTATAAAGAAAAGCTATTTTTAAAAAAGATGTTTTATTATATTCAACCACTTTACCATGTGCTATTATTTCTAAGTTTTTTCATTGATTCTTTTAAGGTTTCTATGTAAAAAAAAAAAAATTTTTTTTTTTTTTTTAAATAATGCCTATGTCAAATCCTTTCCTAAATTTACTTTTTAAAATTACCACTGTGGAGGCAGCATGCAAAATGGGAAAGTGGGCCTGGAAATCAGATGAGAAATTATGGTGCTTAGGAGTTATGCAGGATAGATAATAAGAGTTGAAAGGAGAGGGTAGATTTAAGAGAAATTCCAAAAGGTAGAACATGCAGGACTCCGCGATGGGGGGAAACGGACTGGGAGGAATAAAGGATGACTTCCAGGCTTCAGCGTTGCATGACTATGTAGAGAGATAGTTCATTAAGCAATTTACATGGAAGACAGTAGTCACTCAGATTACAGC